GGTGCGTCCGCGCAGAGGCTTCGATGCTTGGAGTCGTTGGAGATGGGTTAGAGCTTGATGATCAGTGTAAGCCGTTACCTTGGAGACACGGAGCAAGGGCGACCACTTGTCCAGCGCCGTGACCAACGCCAAGAGTTCCTTATCGTAGATCGAATATCTCTGTTGCGTGGGGCTCATGGCTTGGCTGAGGAAGCCGATGGGTTTACCATCTTGTTCGAGAACTGCTCCGAGTGCATAACCAGAGGCATCTGTGTATAACTCGAAGGGTTTCGTCGTGTCAGGGACTTGTAAGGTAGTGAAGTCGATTAAGCGCTGTTTGAGCTGTCGCACTGCTTGCGTGTGAAGCTCTGTCCATTTGAAACTGACGTCTTTGCGCGTTAGATCAACCAGCGGCCGGGCAACGTCTGCATAGTCCGGTCTCATGAACATGCCACAGTAGTTTATGGTACCGAGGAACTGGCGCACTTGCGTTTCGTTCTCCAGCACCTCTGGCCACTGCCGGATGGCTGCGATTTTATCTTCTGCGGGTTTGATCCCCGTAGCAGAGACGGTATAACCCAAATAAGTAATTATTTGCCTTGCAAGCTTGCAATTGCGGAATTTTGGGTAGAACTGGTGTCTAAGAAAAATGCTTAGGACTTGTCGCAGAAGAGAAGCGTGCCCAGAGAGATCAGAACTATAGATAAGTACATCATCTAGGTACGCAATAACGCCCTTTCCCAATAAAGGCTGTAGATAGGCATTAATATTGGCCGGGAACGTAGTGGGAGCACCGTTAAGGCCGAATGGCATCACGCGGTACTCGAATAGTCCGAGAACGGACCGGAAAGCCGTCTTCCACCGGTCTTCCCTAGCCATACGTATTAAATGGAATCCTGCTTCAAAATCCAAGGTGGAAAAATACTTGGCGCCTCCCAGCAGCTCCAGAATGGTTTGAATGGGAGGTAGTGGAAGATGAGGGGCTATCGTAAGTGCATTTAGAGCCTGGTAATTGACAACCATACGCATCTTCCGCTCCCCGGAGCCATCATCACGTTTGTCCACCATGATCGTATGAGAGCGAATAGGCGAATAGGTCGGTCCGATCCAACCACTGTCCGATAATTTAGCTATCTCCTGTTTGTGGAATATGAGCTGATCTGGGGTCATACGGTATATTGCAGATTTCGCTGGAAGTTTTCCAGGCACAAATAGAATATGGTGATCATGAGGGCGCTTCGGCGTTAATCCCTTATGTAAGGTATCGGGAATAACCGCTCGATACTCGTGCAACACCTGGGCAACCTCAGATGGAATATCCTGCGCCTCTGGCAAAGTTATCCATTTGTCGAACAGAGTGTGCTCAAGTTTTGGCATAGGCCAGGGAGACTCCTCGTCACTCTCCGCTGCCACCGAGGAGGTTGAGGCGAAAGGACTACGCCAGCTGGAGGACGTGGGTTGGTTCCCAATTAACGCGCAACAAAGTGCGCCTTGCCATTCATCCGAGAGCGTTAGGGGCACTGCCGAACCGGCTTCGGGCAAAGCCAGTATGAGATGCAAACCGTGCAGTGGATCCTTGAGATCCTTTGTGTCAGCCGCCGCCTGACGAACGAGCGACGTTATCTGCGCCTTCGCCTTAGTCTTCGCGTGGGACTTATACCTCCTTGGAGGCGGGCGTAGGAATATAACTGCCTCCTCGGCTGACATACCCGCCACTTTTTTTGCCAATATCTCACATGCTTGCCCTGCTGGGGTCCTTGAGTGGACTACAGTGGGACTGTCACCTTGCAGCGTTGCTTCACCAGTGCGAACGACCGGTAACTCGCACCACTGGCCATTCACACAGGTTCGGAGTCTGTCAGACTGAAAATACCAGGCCACCTTGTGTTCCGTCAGCTAATCCAAACCCAAGACTAAGTCATAGGGAACGGGTCCCACTAAAAAGTCCCCGAAAAAACGTGCATGTCCGCACCACAGCGTC